AGAAAACCGCTGCGCCCAGCGTCCAAGCTACCGTTACCGACGAGAAGAAGGGTGCTGTCGAAACCGTTGCTCCTGCTGCTGGTGTAGCTGTGGATGCTGCCCAGCCCATCGTTGTAGAGAAGACTTCGCGACCCAACTCAACAGCCGAACCAACATCAGACGACGACGACAACTTTGAGTACCCCACAAAATGGAGGCTCACTGCGATTACCGTGGCACTTTGTCTAAGTGTCTTCTGCATGGCGTTGGTAAGTTGCTTACCTCTGTAATCCCCGGTTCCACGGCTTTGGTACGCCATTGATCGACAGCGGCTACACCTGTCAAACCAACCCATGAGATCTGCACGTGAGTACGCGCTAACGCCTCTGTTTAGGATAACACAATCATCGCAACAGCTATTCCTCGCATTACAGATCAGTTCAAAGCGCTCAACGATGTAGGCTGGTATGGGTCGTCGTATCTACTGACTACATGCGCGACGCAACTCATCTACGGAAAGTTCTACACCTACTACTCCATCAAATGGGTATACCTCATCGCGCTCTTCATCTTCGAACTCGGCTCGCTTATCTGCGGTGTTGCGCCAAACTCGACTGCCCTCATCATCGGACGCGCTGTCGCTGGTGTCGGAGCAGCTGGTATCTTCTCCGGAGCCATCTTGATCATCTCGGTCACCGTACCGCTGCGCAGTCGCCCTACTTACATGGGACTCATTGGAGGCATGTATGGTATTGCGTCTGTTGCTGGCCCACTGTAAGTTGTGGAGAAGACGTTTGGATCTAAGATCGACATGGACTAATGTTTGCTTTAGCATGGGCGGAGCTTTCACAGACCATTTGACTTGGCGATGGTGCTTCTACATCAACCTTCCCTTTGGTGCCGTTACCGCTGCCTTCATCATCCCCTTTCTCAACGTCAAGCGTCGTGGCAAGAAGATCACGGCTACATGGCAACAGCAGCTTCAGAAGTTCGATCTTCCTGGGACCGCGTGTTTCTTGCCGGCTATCATCTGCTTGTTGCTTGCGCTTCAGTGGGGTGGTAGCAAGTACGAGTGGAACAGCGGACGTATCATCGCGCTCTTCGTCATCTTCTTTGTCCTCATCTGTGGATTCATCACTATTCAGTGGTGGAAGCAGGAGGATGCTACCGTCCCTCCTCGTGTGTTCCTCAACCGCAATGTCTGGGGCAGCGCGTGGTTTGGTGCCATGTTGGGCGCGTCCTTCTTCCTCATCGTTTACTACCTTCCCATCTGGTTTCAGGCGATCAAGGGCGCGTCTGCAACCAAATCCGGTATCATGAACCTCCCCGCCATTCTGGGACTTGTCATCATCTCGATGCTTGCCGGTGGTGCCGTCACAGCTCTGGGCTACTACACTCCGTTCATGCTCACGTCGTCTATCCTGATGGCAATTGGTGCTGGACTTTTGTCAACGCTGGAAGTCAACAGCGGCTCGCCGCAGTGGATCGGCTACCAGTTCATCTTCGGTGCCGGTGTCGGTTTCGGTATGCAGCAGACCCTTGTAGCTGTTCAAACAGTCTTGCCGGCCGACGACATCCCCATTGGTACCGCGATCATGATGTTCACCCAGACGCTCGGCGGTGCTCTCTTCATTTCGGTCGGCCAGAACGTCTTCACCAACCAGCTCATCAAGAACCTCGCCAGCATCGTGCCCGATCTCGATGCGAGCATCGTCCTCCGTACTGGCGCAACCGAGCTCAAGAACGCCATCGACCCCGAGTACCTCGGCGGCGTACTAACGGCCTACAATCTGACTCTTACCCAGACATTCTACGTGTCGGTTGCTTGCGGTGCCATGTCGATTGTCGGCGCGGTGTTCGTAGAGTGGAAGTCGATGAAGGGCAAGCAGATCACCATGGCTGCTGCTTGAACGAGTCCCAAGACCGGGGACTTTATTTCGACCTGATGTGATGTCTTCTTGGGCGTCTAGATGCATGTTTTGTATGATACCCTTTTCCAGCGGCATGTTAGCACCAGCATCTTGCAGCGAGCGCGGCGTTTGTCTTTTGGCATATACATCGTAATAGACGAGTGATGAATGGGAGGAGTGATAGACACGGCACTTTGCTTTTTGGCCTGATGTGCTGGCAAAGGCATGACGACTCTTCGCTCTTAGAAACCTGTAATTGAATAGATCAACACAATTGCATTAAACTCTTGGCCCGGTCGTTTCACAGCCACCAGCCACACCCCGAGGGCTTGTCGAGCCGGTCCCACCCGTCGTGACGTCAGCCCGTTTGTCGTGGTTTGACTCTTTTGGGACGTCACATGCAAGTCCCTTTCCCACCCAGGACGGCCGAGAAGAAAGTGTGTGGAGCCGGCAGCTGACAGGGGCGAATCAACGCAAAGGGCGGCTGGAGAGTGGGTGCTGGATTGGTCGCGCGGGCGGTTGGTGTTCAACGTCGTCAGGCTTTAGGCTGATGCTTAGCAAGGCTTGTTTTTTGCAGGGTCAAGCCTCCCACTGGCGATCAACACTCATCCTGCGCTGCGCCCGCCTTCGATTGCGCGTTCGGCGCTTCTTTTCCCAGCCTTGCATATTCTGCTGACGCCCGCCCACGCCATGCGCCTGCAGACTGCGCTGCTCCTGCGACGATATACATTTGACATCCACTGCTAGCTGGCCTCTACCGCGCGCCACAGTTCCGTTGCGCCGAGACGCGACAACAGCCGGCAGAGCCCGCACGACCCGACGTCTTACAGACAGAGCCACCGTCGCGCATCGCGGCCATGGCAGAGGAGAAGGAACCGAGGCCTGAAGCCGCGCAGAACGGGCATGCGCCGGTCGTACCGGAGAAGGAGGGCGGGTTGGACGGCGCTGATAGCGAGCCCCCAAAGCCGCAGAAGACGGATACGTCCGGCAGCAAGAAGAAGGGCCCGGAAGGAGGCTTCGACGACACGCCCATACCGCGCGCGCCGCCCGGCTATACCGTCAAGTTCACCCTCCACCGCGCCAACAACCTCCCGCTCGCCGACATCAACACGCTCAGCGCCGATCCCTTCATCATGGCGCAACTGTACACCGGCCTGCCCACGCGACACAAGGAAGACCCGCCGTTGACGCTGCGAACACCGACGATCCGCCAGAGCACCGATCCCGTGTGGGACTGCGAGTGGGTGGTCGCCAATGTGCCCTCGTCCGGCTTCAACCTCAAGTGCCGCATATACGACGAAGACCCGGCAGACCACGACGACCGCCTCGGCAACGTGCACGTTACCGTTCCCTCCATAAACGAGAACTGGGGAGGCATACACGACCAGACATACCCGATCAAGAAGCGCATGGTGAGCAAGCGGGCCTATGCGCTGCGTGCCATGGCTGTGTGTTTCGGCAAGGCGCATCACATGAACGGCACGCTGAACGTGAGCGTGCAGGTGCTAGGCAGGACCGAGGATGAAAATGGGGGGCGCGCGTATACGATTGGACCGCAGTTCTGGATACGGCACTACTCGCCGCTCTTGGGACGCTTGCTCGGCCAGAAAGAGCCCAACAACGATGGCCGGGTGTCGCGCAGGAACGGCAAGCAGAAGCCTGAGAAGTACAACTTCCAGTCGAATCAGATGCAGATGCGCGGTCCGGTTCCCGAAGCCATGTACCACCGCTACGTCGAGTTCAAACCTTTCGTTAAGAGCATGTTCACCGCTAAGGGCGTGCGAGGATTCGTCTTATCCAAGGCACTGCACCACCAGCACGCGCGCGTATACAACTTCGATCACGCCACAGAGTTCAAGGTTCTGCCTGCGCCTTGCAAGGAGTTCACGCAAAAGTTCCTCGAACTAGTCCACTACGATCAGGGTGGGAGAATCTTCACCTACGTCTTGACCCTCGATGCGCTCTTCCGATTTACAGAGACTGGTAAAGAATTCGGCATCGACATGCTGAGCAAGCATACCATGCACAGCGATGTGGCAGCTTACGTAGCATTTTCCGGTGAGTTCTTCATCAGAAGACTAAAGCACAAGGACCGCAAGCCTCCGGATGAAGGCGGGAACAACACATCCCACCCGCCAGGCGACATCGACGGCGGACCCCCCAAGGAAAGCCCAAACAAAGACCCAGCCTACTACGAACTCGTCATCGACAATGACTCTGGCACCTACCGCCCCAATGCCAAACTCCTCCCTCAGCTTAAAGAATTCATGTCCCAGAACCTGCCTGGCCTACACATCCGCACCCTCGACTGCCAAGGCGACGCCGAGAAGATGGAAGCCATGAAGTCCGAACAGCGCGAGCGCAAGAAGAGGGAGGGCCAAGCTGTGGTCTACACTCAGATCAGCAGAAGCAGCAGTATGAGTAGTAGCGACGAAGAGGAACTGGATCGTCTAGAGAGTGAAGGTCAAATGGCGCCCAAGCATCTCAGACACCAGGTGCAACGGGAGGCCGAGGCGAGAGTCGATGCATTGAAATTCCATGCCAAGGAATACCGCCCGAGTAATAACCACGAGGGGTGGAGGGGCGATGGCCATCCCGCTAGAGCCGATGACGGGGAAGTGGACAAGATGAGGCAGGAGAACGGAGATGAACCGGTGGCATCGCACGAGAGCACACAATCTGGTGCTAAGAGCTAACCTGCATACTCGACTAACGTCTATTCCTTTTCGTCCATCTGTCATCATCACGCCTTGTACATGGTTTCCTTGATTAGTTTCTCAGCATATCATCTTCTTGCACTCGAGCTTCTGCTACTTTAGTGTTTTCTTTTTTCATTGTGCTTTCTTGAATTGCATCTTGTCCGAGTTAAAAACGCTTGCAGCTGAAGAGAGCCAGAGAGAGAGAGGGAGGAAACATTACATACACGGACACTCTCTCTACCCCGAGATACCCGCCACCCTATATTCCTGTAGTAGAAGAGCTTAATTTCCTGCTATTATCAAATTTACCTGTTATCATTGTAACGAATGCTTTTCCGTCTTTGTTGAACACTATGCACGAGCCCTGCCAGCCGTGAAGACTCTACATTGGTTCACCCCAACCACGCGTTCCTCACACCCACTCCGGCACCTCAACCTCCGGCTTACTAACTCCAAACCTCACTGCTTTGGCATAATACTCCAACAACGCTTCCCCTTCTTGTCTCCCCCTCTCAAACTCCTTCCTCAATCTCTCCCTCCCCTCGCCAAATAACCACACCTGCTCCCCGCCAGCACCCATCCGTTTTCTCATTCCGCGACTGTAATCGAGCGCGTGTCGGACTTCTCGGCGGTCTGTGGCCTTGGCTTTGAGTGCGATGTAGGCGGTTAGGTTGAGGAGGACGGCCAGGTCGAGAGGCGTTGTCAGGGTTGTTGGAGTGGTGGATGCTGAGGCGGAGGAGGCAGTAGAGGTCGATGTCGAGGTGGAGCTTGATGCGGTAGACGAGGGATACTGGGGCAGATCATGGCCGGTTTCGCTTCTTAGGGCAAGGAAGACGCCGGTTGTCAACGCGGCGTGGATGTAGGTTAGTGGGAACTTGTTTGTGGCTGTGTGCAGTTCGAGGCTGCTCTCCAGGGCACTGGATAGTGGGGTCCAGACTTGGAGTGGGGGAGCGCGGGAGCTGTTGGTATTGGTGTTGCTGCTGGTGCGTTTGGGCATGGAAGAGGACAGGGTTTTGAGGACCCAGAGATGAGCGTTCGCCCATTGTTGGGGTGCGTTCCAGTCGGTTTGTTCAGACGCGTTGTTCAAGCTCGTTTCGAGTAGACCGGGATATGCAAAGAAGTAGTCTCTTATCGCGCGGTGGGTATAGCTTATCCTCAGGCTCTCGGTACTGGCGTGTTGATCGGGTGGTGTGGTGTCGAAGATGGTTAACATTCCTTTACACCGCTGTTGAGTGAGGGTCTGCATGTCTTCGACTCTCTTACTTATCTCGACTGCTGTCAAGGGCCGTACATCTGCGGCTAGTGTTGCTGACGTCTCGGCTGTGAAGGCAAAGGAGAAAGGAAGGATGGCCGGGCATATGTCTTGATGTGAGAGGAGGGCGTGCAATTTTCCAACTGCTTCGACGTCCTCTGGAGCCATTTTGCTGAGCATGTGGGCGAGCAGATCGTCCAGGAGATAGGGAAGCCCCTCTGCACGATCTTTCAGGACGAGAAAATCAGAGTCGGGCTCTAGACTTTCGAAGAGAAATGTGGTGGCGAGTTTCAGCCACAGGAACACTCCTGAGCTCTTTTCAGCGAGCATCCCGACGATGTGTTCTTCCTCTTGGCCGTCCATCTTCCCTCTTAGCGAATGCAACTTTGGTTCCTCGCCGAACGTTCTGATCAGGTAAGTTTGTATATCATCTCTTGTGTATTCCTCCAGTACCATCCTAGGCTTATTCTCAAACGCTGAATAGAAGACTGGTGAGCTCCGGGCTGAAAGCAGGAACTTGACGTTGTCTCTTCGCGAAGTGCTAAACACGAGGTCCATCAACTCCTTCGGATAGTCATCCGTCTCATCCAGCCCATCGATCATGAAGAGAAACTTCTTGTTCGCATCGCCGACCAAGCTCTCAAACGCTGCTTTCAGTTCCGGAAAAGTGAACTCGTGTAGGCCACCAGCGTAGGATTGGAATGCATTCCAGCGATCGGAGAACAGGTTCTGCATAATGACCCCGTCTTCTTCCAGGGGCCCAAATATCATGTCCTGTAAGCTTTCGTAGATGATGGCTCGCAGTAGACCAATGGAACTCTTCTGCAGCTCTGTCCCATTGTTCCAAAGAAAGAACCCAGACGTGATGCCGGGTTTCTGACCAGACCACGCCTCGAGATGTGGGAACAGGAGTGGATTGCGGAAGAGATATTTCATCAGAGTGGTTTTCCCTGAGCCCGGTTTACCTGGAGCCGTTGTAAGAAGACATTCAGGGATCGAAAGACGGGATAGTGAGAGATGAAGACGCACCGGTGAGCCAATATATTTCTTCGCCCCTCGTATTAGTAAACCACTCCAGCAAACCGCCAACCTGTCTCGAGCCGTCTCCCATCACCCACTCGAACCCTAAATCGACGGAACTATCGATGCTATTCATCCTTTCGTCCATCTCCTCGAACCACAGCCTCTCGAAGATGGTAGCGCGGAAGTATGCTTCCTTCTCCGCCTGGATGAGCGCATCAACCTGTTTGGAAAACTCCTCTACATCCTTCTTCTTGCTGCTTTTCCAATCATTGCTGTGGATCATATCGAGGGTTTGGTTCTGCCACTTTTCCCAATGCTTCGTGTGCACGCCTTCGTCGCCGCTGAACAGAGCGAGACCAGTCTCAATGGATTGATCCAGATACTGGCGCATAGCGAGCAGTAAACTCGTCTCAATGTCGCGACGAAGGGCACGGTACTTCTTCTTTGTACCTGTCACATTGGCCTTCTTCCACACGCCGTTCAATAATGCTTCGCGCGCAGTAGGCCATCGCGGGTCACCAAACTTTCCCTTCTCTTGCGCCGCGATTAGCGCGTCGATGAATGAAGCTGTCAGTTCCTTGACTAGCTCAGCATGCTTCAGCAATTGCAGCGCTGCCTCGCTAAGTTTCTTGGCTGCTTTTGCGCTCTTTGCTGATTTTTCGTCGTACAGCTCTTTGAGCTCAGAATTGTCAATCAGGTCGGTCAGGCGATAGAGATTGTGTATGATATCTTGTAGGAAGGCTGCATTTTCCACGAGCGGTGTTGTCGAAGGTGAGCTAGGCTGGAAGATGGGATGGTCTTTGCGTAATGCGTTGATGGAGAAGTCGATAGTTTGGATGAGCGCACTTGCAAGGCCGACCGCCGGTATGGGGCGCAACATACTGTGGAATTGCTTTTTCGCGGCACAGCAAAAGCCTAGTCGCGACGTCTGAGCCTTGTGACCCTTTTGATATGCGAAGCGCATGTCTGCTGCGCCCCTAAGGCGTATGCGCACAGACCAAGTTCACTGAGGGCCTAATCCAGGGTGCGGGCGTTTCAAAGTTCAGCGCACGTCGATCTTGCCGACACCACGACCTCCCGCGGTCGTCTCAGGACCGAGGTACTAAGGTCAGACCGTATGGTGCCTTCGCTACGACGACGTCGGGTTGGAACGGTCTTACCTGCCTAGCTATGATGCCACGTTGCCGACTCGACGGCTTCAGCCTGATATTGCGTAATATCGCAGATGCGTAAGAACGCCGCGCCAGCAGTCCGAGGTTGAGAAGGCTCTGTGCTCTTCAATGGCACCAGAAGTTTGAGACTGAGCCGGACGCTTCTGACCTGGTAAAGATAGACTGGGTCTGCATGGGTTGACGTTTACTTTGCGCCTACTTCCCCCGTCCTGCCCGGCGCAGTCGTCCCTCACCACAGTGGACCGCTAATCATGACGTTCAACAAGAGTTTCACCTCTTTCTTCTGTAGTCCGGCGTGGACAAATCATCGATATAGATTTTGGCACTGCCGTTGGTGTCGTTTCTTAGATGTCTTTGCTAGAACACACATTGTGCTAACAACATCGAATGTCACGGGGGATACCTCTGGAATCCATAACAGATCCACCTCTAAACACACAACCCTCTTGTCATCTTTCATGCTCTACTTTAGCCAATAGCGTTGGCGTCGAATCTCTCTTCTGGCATAAGCTTATACTTTTCTACCCAAAACCTTCCGCCACGCAAACTCCTCCCTAAACCCCAACAACTCCTTCATCTTCGCATTACAAACCGGACTCTCCCTTCCCCTCAACCCGGCCAACACTTCCGTCTCAGGACAAGCCTTCCTCAACCATTCCCCACTGCTCCCTTCTTCCTCCGGCACCGTAATCTCATCATTGACCGCATTAAAAATCTGGAACCCCAACCCATCCGTCTTCAAACAACACTGCACCATGTTCCCCAAATCGCGCGCATCGGTATAACTCCACGCATGCACCTTGAAATCCCGAGGCCGAGTCAAATACGCCGAGAACTTCTTGGCGTGGTTTTCAGGTTCTATAACTGCGGAGATGCGCAGGCAGTAGATGTCTACGCTGGGAAAGCGGCGGGCGAAGGAGGCGGCCGTGGTTTCCATGCAGAGTTTACTGGTGGCGTAGACGTCCATGGGGCTTGTGGGACTGGTTTCTGTGAGGGGAAAGTGCGGGTAGGAGACGTTGCCTTCGGCGTAGGTGATCCCGTAGGTGGTTATGCTGGATGCGAGGATGATCTTCTTGACGCCGAGTTTGCATGCTGCCTCGATGACATTGTAGGAGCTTAGGGTGTTGATGCGGTAGGTTTCGTTGTCGGGGAGGCGCATGGGTTGGGGGATGCCTGATGAGTGGGGTCAGTCTTGTCAAAAGTTTGTTGCTGAAGTCAAGTTATCTTTCCTGATTCCCTGCTTATTTGCAGGATGTCTAGAAGTGAGATGGAAAATGATACGTACCAGCGAAATGTACGACTGCATCTGGCGTCTTGACTGGCTCCATAAAGGGTTCACTAATCTTGAAGTGGCAAGACAGACTGTTGAAGGCTTGCGCTCCATCTGTGAGATCGGCCTTTAGAGTGTGTACATTGGGATTATCCAGAGGCGTTGCATCCACGTTGAGTATCTCGTGGCCGAAGGTAAGCAGCTTTTCAATTACATGGCGTCCTGCGACTCCAGAACCACCCGTAAATACTATCCTCTTGGTTTGTGAAGAGGCCATCATGCAAATGCGTGGGAATCTGCGAGATGGAGCGGTAAATGAGATCCGACGAAGGCGTTTATAAGTATGTAAATAAGGAACAACCAGTCGTAGAATTCATAGTGCTGATCGTCAGGTTTGTTGTTCTTGCGCGGAGCTTCCCCGCTCTAGCTTACGAAGCTCTAACCTTGTTGGCTCTCTTGAGTGCCGATGTGCATGGAGTCTTGATGGCCGAATCTAGTAATAGTGCGCGGACATGCAGTATACTAGTAGCAGAAGACAGGACAAACTCATACCGGTATTGGTACATTCATTCATGTCTATCATTCAAGCCTCAGCTATTCAGTGAGCTGGCGCTTTTGATCGTTATGTTCGGTCTTGCACATCATTTCCCCTCTACACAACCTGGGTGCCGTAACCCCTGATCCTGTCGGCAAATGCCCAGCTCTGGTTCTCCAGCTTCACGTTCTCATCGAGATCGACGCCGTCCTTGGTAATGACGGCAATCGAGTACTTGTCCATACTCCTGGCATCCCTGTAGAAGAGAACCTTCATGCACTCCTTGATCTTCTCTACCGCCTGCTCCCTTGTGACGTTCTCCACGGCAGCCTCATCTGGCAATATTGTCCTTAGGATTGGCTGGGCGAGATGTGCACCGAAGCCAGTGGCCAGCGATGGTGATGAAAAGGTGGTACCGAGAAGGTCTGCGCTTGCGAGGAAGGGCTTCTTGTCTCCGTCCATGCCCACGATGAGCAGGTGGTTCCACAATGGATCGAACTTTGAGCGGCGATTGTACATGACTTTGGCGAGGTAGGTGTGGAGGTTCTTGGCATTCAGCGAGTTTTCGGAGGAGGAGTAGTTCTCGCGGATGTCGAGCGAGTTGAGTAGGCGGTCCAGGTACTGCATATCGGAAACATCGCCGCCGAAACCCACGACGACCTCGTCATTGAACTTTCGTAGGCGCTTGACGTCGGTGAAGCGAGCGAGGGAGCCGTATGAAGCTACATGTATGGTCAGCCAGACCCTCACTGCCTATAGTAGTGTGCCATACCCAGGTTGTCGGCGGCGATGACTACGCCGTCCTTGAACTTGGCCGCAAGTACTGAGGTACCCGTGACGATCGGGCTCTGGGTGTGCTGGTTGGGGCCGGCAGCGGAGAAGTGCGAAGGGTCGTAGGCGCCGTATACATCGTCTCTGGGCTACGATGCATTAGTACTGTTGCTGTTGGAGGCGGGCGGAAGACATACACGACCCCAAGCTTGCGGCAGGTGGTTCATAGTGGAAGAGGCGACTGAAATGCAGAACTGCAGAGACGGTGTTGTTCGGGATTCGGAGAGAGTGCTATGTCGCAGTGGGCTCAGAGGTGAGGTTGTTGTTGTCACGACGCTCGTCAGGCAGTCGGTGGTTGCGCAGCTCGCCCGCCAAGACATGGAGCTGGCCCAAGCTCCGCATATTGAGGTCAATTCGAGAGGATCGTCCACCAGCATTGCGCACTCACAATGCTCGGAATCGACTACCCAGACAGTGACGACGAGGACGTCGTGCCCGCGACCAAGCCAGAGGTGAGACCCGCAAATCTGTGCAGAGGGCTCGGATCGCTACTAATATAGAGTTGACCAACATTCCTGCAGCTGTCGCGCCTACCCCAGCGCCTCTCTCCGCTCCCGCGCCTCTCGAACAGCCGCCTACATCGTCGGGTCCGGTGAGCGGCCCTGCGCAAGGTCCGACAGTATCGCCGCCTCCGGAGGACAATGCCAACGCGAATGAAGCCGCGCCAGGCTCACCACACACAGCTACACGTGCCCTGATTCAGAACCTTACTCTACCTACCGTACCGAACTTCGATATACCGCCTTCTCCGCCGGGATCACCACCACAGAAAGCGACGAAGAAGTTTGCGCAATTTCTAGAGCTCAAGAAGAAGGGCCAGCATTTCAACCAGCGCCTGGAAGGCTCGTCCGTGCTACGCGATCCGGGACACATGCGGAAGCTGATGGGCTTTGCGGGAATCAGCGAAGAGGACGCATATGCATCTACACTGCCACAAGATGTCGCGATACCGGCAGTCTTCCCGGAGTGGGCCTATGTCGAGGAATTGAGGGCTTCACAGAAGCGCATCGCAAAGACCAAAGAACAAGAGAAATCCAAGGCACCGAGAGAAGCTCTCGAGTTTGTGTCCGCGTCCAAGACTGGCGCGTCGAGTGGAACGGGCACGGCGTCAAGCTCTGCTACGGGAAAGCGCAAGGAATTGGAACATAGAGGCAAGGACGATCAGGGCACAAAGAGCAAAGTAGAGCGCAGGTCAAGGTCGCCGAAGAGGAGACGATCAAGGTCTAGAGAGAGAAGGTGAGGGGAGAAGATAGCACAGACTGAGAAGACTTGTAGTAATACTGTGAATGCGGCGTTCGCACAACCAAAATGAAGTACACCCCAAGACATTTGATCCAGACGCTTGCTGTGCATGCCCGCCACAGACGGTAAATGCATGCTCTCACTACATGGGCGCCAAGACACTAGCGCGCGGAAGCTCCAGGCATTCGAGCTGCGTAACTCCAGAGCTCCAGCACCAACAAACAGAAGCGTCGCAACAGCCCACCCCCCCTTCCGATACCGACTGTACCTCTGCAACCCCGCCCGAATCCGCCTCTCCAAAACTCGACGATGGCTGCTCTCTACACCGGTGCACCTCCGCAAGGCGGCCCAGGCTATTCGTTCAAGCAGACCCCCACAACTGTTCCGTCAGGCGAGCGGCAACATGGCTTCTACCCGTACGCTGGCTCGCCATGCTGAACATACGCACCGCTAACACAATGCAGCTACACGGACAACGGTGGCTCAACACTGGGCATCTCCGGCGCCGACTTCGCCATCCTCGCAGGCGACACACGCTCGACTTCCGGCTACAACATCAACACACGATACGCACCCAAGCTCTTCAAGATCGGCGGCGAGGGACCAGAGAACAAGGGTGCCAGGATAGTGCTGTCAGTGGTCGGTTTCGCCGCCGACGGTGATGCGCTGAAGGAGCGTCTCGACACCATCGTCAAGATGTACAAGTACCAGCACGGAAAGCCCATGACCGTCTCCGCCTGCGCACAACGACTCAGCCACATCCTCTACAACAAGCGCTTCTTCCCCTACTACGTACATGCCATCCTGGCTGGTCTGGACGAGGAGGGCAAGGGTGCGCTGTACTCCTACGACCCGGTCGGCAGCTACGAGAGGGAGCAGTGCAGGGCGGCTGGCGCTGCGGCATCTCTCATTATGCCTTTCTTGGACAACCAGGTCAACTTCAAGAACATGTACGAGCCAGGCAGCGGAACAGGCCACGAACTCAAGTCGAAGCAAGCACAACCGCTACCGCGGGATCACGTCGAGGACCTGGTACGGGACGCCTTCACGAGCGCCGTGGAGAGGCACATTGAGGTTGGTGATGGCCTTCAGATGATGATCATTACAAACGAGGGCATAGCCGAGACCTTCACACCCCTCAAGAGGGACTAAGAAGGTGTGACGTATAGACTTGGGGTGCAGTATCTTCACGAATTTGATGACTTCAAAACACCAAGCGGATGTATAAGTAGCATACCATCATGCTACTGAAGATTAAGAATTCATCTACATGATCAATGACCGAACATGTTCAAGACAACCTACTGTTCTCCTTCTATTGTCTTGATTCTGTTTATTTATTAATCTGCAATTAATAACTATGTGCTATATCTATAACTTGTCCAATAACAGAACGCTGTTGTTGACTTATCTTCTAGTATATATTATGAAGTGATAAGTAGATTGCTACATATGCTTAGCTCATAGGATACGTAGACAACATACCTACGTTAAGACTAATGCAAGGAGCACCTAATTGGCATTGTGTTTCTATCTTAGCACAGACTTTTCTCCGCTATTGCAAGTAAAAGAAGGCATAAAATTACATAGGCAAGAGCAAAAAAGAACAGACACCCTTGAGGTATTAAGTGTCTGGTGAAAACTCCGCTACACTCCCCAAGTCGGCATCCTGGCATGCTCCGAAGATGCCATACCAGGACGCCGCCTTGGGGAGTGTAGAAGTGGTTTTATCACGACTCGAACCCGCGGCTTCCAACATAGCTGGGAGCGACCCAGCGTTGGCGGTGGTCTTACCCACTCCTTTGCTATGCTGCACGTTTCCGGCCGATCATCAGGTCTTCCATCCCGAGTCGATGGAGGGACGTAGAAGATCTAGGACTATATAGCGAGAGAGAGTTCGTGGTATACTCTGTATAAAATAGGCGGTGGAGGGAGATGGCTGGACCGGTGGGGAGGCGAGGTGAAAGTGAGTGTGGGCGTTTGCTATTTTGCTGGGTGAAGGCGGGCTGTGCGTGTGTGGCCTGTGGGAAGCGAGAGGTTTGACGAAGAGAAAGATGGTGAAGACTGAAGGATGACGAGGCTATGATCATGACGAGAGGATGGCTTGAGAAGAGGGACAAAGGTTGCTGATATACTCACGTGGGCATACATGGGATGGATGATGTAGCAACAAAGAGATCAGAGAGACCACAACCCAACACATATTAGAGATCGAGGCATGAATGGAGCACGGCATCGACGTACGTGAATGAAGAAAAATGTACTCACGGGGATGGCAACAGAGGTGATAGAGGCCACTTTGCTACGTCGAAAGATGGTCGATCGACGATAACGACTAGGAACTGCGGCACCCGTATCGAAGACTGTGTAAAGAAATACACCATGGTCGACCAAGGATGTGCGATGAAGGAACGACGGAGGTTCGTGTGCGTCGTGCGCGCCCCCGGGGCCCCTGCCCCAAACGTGCTAGCGGTCCCCACATCGGCAGCAGCCAGCCAGGTGCCGACTCATCACTCTACCTACTGCAACCCGAGCACGCACTTCTCAGGCAGTCACTTCATCTGGACTTAAGCCTTCTATCACCTCCGACGCCATATTGGGAAGAGGAGAAAAACAAGCTTTCTAACCGAAGAACCGGATCTGGGAAATGCGCAAACGCGGCACGCGTCGCTTCTCGAATTTCATCTAAACAGATTGCTTTCGATAACTCGTCGCCCTAAGACCTGGATGTCTCGCCCGATCGCCCTAGATCACGGTCTCGCGAATTCAATGTGAAAATCGAACGTTCAGTTGCCGAAGGTGTTGGGGCTGCAATATACAGGAACAGCATGGTTACCACTGCCAATCAGCACATACGCGTTACGAGTGTTGAGATTCTCGATCCCGAACCGCAGAGATGCGAAGAAGAAGCTACCATACGTTCACAAGACTTGCGCCCAACCGAACCGACGGGAGCTTTATCCGGTGGCTCGTAGCACACGCATTATATGCAAGCAAGCCTGCACGACACCCCCAAAAGCATACCTGTCAAACGAATCTAGAGCCCAGTTTCGGTGTAGTCAACACTGAATGGCTGCCTTTGGCGCACTGATTAATTTCCACACCACCTGCAGGACGTTACACGTGGAAAACTGAACCCGGGTTACGGCACTGACAAGCTTTGCTTTCATATAATCGCAAGTCACACGACGATGCCATACTCTAGAATGTTGCCTCTTGGGGTGTAGTCGCCTAGATCGATACCGTGGGCTACACTCCACCTGTAAGCGAACATGTTGTATACTTCTTAGGGGATAAGGAGGCAAGTATAAAGAGACGATAGGTAGGCGTTCAATTCGATACCATCCCAGAACAGTCCAACACTTGCATTCACTTTATTCACCGATCATCGGCAGAGCATTTATCATGAAGAGTGCAATCATCTTGACCGGCGTTGCTGCCTTCGCAACGCAGGTAGCCTCTCATGCCACTTTTCAGCAGCTTTGGGTGAACGGCGTAGATCAGATAAGTACCCCCAAGTGTCTCGTATCAACCGCTGACATCTATCCACCAGTCGACGTGCGCAAGATTACCCAATGGCAACAGCCCCGTCACCTCAGTAGCAAGTAACGACATCCGCTGCAACGCCAACCGCGGTCCAGCAACCTCGAAATGCAGCGTTCCTGCTGGCGGTACCGTCACCGTAGAGATGCACCAGCAGAACGGCGACCGCTCATGCGCTAACGAAGCCATCGGCGGGGCTCACTACGGCCCCGTTCTGGTCTACATGTCCAAGGTTGCAGACGCATCCACAGCGGACGGTTCGACCCCCTTCTTCAAGGTCTTCCAGGATACATGGGCGAAGAACAGCGGTGGCGGTGGCGGTTCGGATGATTACTGGGGTACTAAGGATCTGAACAAGAACTGTGGAAAGATGGATGTGAAGATTCCCACCAACCTGGCCCCTGGAGATTATCTACTGAGAGCGGAGGCTATTGCGCTACACGCTGCAGGCAGTGCAAACGGCGCCCAATTCTACATCACCTGCTACCAGATCACTGTCACTGGTAGTGGATCTTCTTCACCCGCTGGCGTATCGTTCCCTGGAGCATACAAGGCTACCGACCCCGGTATCCAAATCAACATCTACCAGAACCTCGCTTCGTACGTCGCTCCCGGTCCGGCAGTCATCGCGGGTGGTACAGAAGCCGTTGCTGGTAGTGCTGGATCTGCTGTCACTGCTACTGGTGGAGCGCCAGTTGCTACAGCTACTGCAACCACGATGAGGACGTCAGCAGTAGCCACCTCTGCCGCCGCTGTGCCAACGAATGGAGGTGGTTCTGGCGCTTGCTCTGTTGCAAGGTACGGCCAATGCGGCGGAAATGGTTTCACTGGATGCAAAACTTGTAAGTCGGATGAGCTGAGAAAACGTGTAAATAGGCCTTTACTAACGCTGTGTAGGTGCTTCAGGACTTACCTGCAAAGCCGGAGGTGATTACTACTCGCAGTGTGTCTGATTAGCTTGAATGCAGTCCAAGGGAGGCCCGTAGAAACTTCGTGTAAATACTTTGCAGTTGACACAGGCGCCAAAACCTGTTGCATTCAACAAATGACATTCGTTGTAGCCGCCTAGGTGGAATCAAAGTCTGCGTGATAGGGAAAACGCCCTCCCACAGCTCCATCGCATTTATCGCATCCAAGAACATTGTCAACATTAACATGCCTGGATCTGACTCATGTGGTCGCATGTGCCCTCTGAATGTCATGGGCTTCTAGACTCCGCCCTTTCCATCGGAGCAAACACGTCAAGCTAATACTCTCCAACCTACCGGCAAAATCATCGGCACTATTTTCATTCCGAAGATTCTCAGTCACCATGCAGCCATAAGGATACATGCAAACAAAAAAAGACAATCCAGATCAAGAAAACCAGTCAGACTTTGCAAAACACACCTGACGCGTGTATCCTGACATCTGTGCATGCAACGTTCTTCAGTGCCGCGATTCGGCATTGGACGCCTAACACTGTTGCCTAGCGCTGACACCACGATGCTTGCACTCGCTTACCAAAGCCCGCCAAGTAGGTACTCCGAGGGCTGCACCAAATGTGTAAGGCATGCAGTTCATGGCTTGTGCTGAGTGGGGAAGAGTCAAGTTGAATTCCGAAGCAGCTGGAAAGGGCAATGACGAACCTGATAGGGTCTCCGAGCTGATCGGTAGTGATATGACGAGTCTGCATATAAGAAGACATGTGGAACATCAATGGCAGAGTCATACTTGTCAACGAGAGCAGCCGCATACATTAAGTCAACTGTCTCAGCCTCTCGATATCTCCAAGCACTATCAATACGACATCTACTTGTCACTGCTACCGAAGTACCACCACAATGTCTTCTCAATCCAACACCACCTCACCAAGCGATCTGCCACGCTATTCTACCACTGCACCACCTCCATACTCATCTTCCGATGCGAACTCCCTAGTCTCAACGAAATCAACGTCGAAAAGTATTCTGACAAAGTTGCTGAACCGAAAGCGTATGTTCATACATCCTTTGATGGATTGGAACTCTAGCTAATACAGATAGCAGCTGCTGAAGCGACGTCGCAGTCGAGCAACGAAGCGCAAAAGAAAGTCGATGAGTGTGAGAATAGAGCTGCTGCGAGAGCGGCGTACTTCTCCGGGCTTTGAACGATTCACCGCCTTTAGAGGAGTAAGATTGCCGGATGTGGGTTTCGGAATGATGCGTGGAATAGTTCGCATGTTTAGATTCTGGGAATTATGTTGCTGGAAGAGCGGTTTGAGGCGTACATTGTGTCGGATTTTCATAATATACCGGGATTCGGGTATGAGGCGTTGGATGGTTTGTTTTAGTTAGCCGAGGCTTTGCAGTCCTGTCAACACAATTGATTACACTCAGAACAAGTCCTGGATTGGTCAGCAAATTTTCTCTGCATGTGACTCTTCAGCTTACCGCATTATTCCACGTTGCATTGTCTAGCCAGTTCAGAAAGTCGGAGGACTCTGTCGGTATAGGTTCCAGCCCCTCGGTCATGGGCATGTCGAAGAATCCCTGCCCCATCCCGGTCAGATTAGCTGCGGTATCGTCACCGGCATCTGGTGTGCCTTTGGTTGGAGGTTCGTAGTTGAGGACCTCATCTAGTACCAGCGCGAGCATTTTGTTGAGCTCGTTGCAAAGCTTGAGATTGCCGTCGCCGGGAAGAACGCTCCATTCCAAACATGAAGTCAGCACGGAAAGGTTACGGATTATGTCGGCCCGGGAGACTGTGCTAGGCAGTGGTACGCCCTCAATCGTACATCTCCGCAGCTCTAGTGCCAATACACCAGCAGCTGGGGAACAGTAGAATAAAATGACAGTGGGGAAATGGCGACGAGTTTCGTATATGCGGTTTTGCGGCTTAGAAGCCACGAGTGAGGACACCAGTAGCTTCAGAGACACTTCCAACAATGCCGGCAGAGCTTGTTGCGTTATCCGATGAAGGAGGCGTTGTGTTTGGAAATGTACGTGCAGGTAATCCAGGTAGTAGGCGACCAGTCGCATGGCCAGACCAGGACCGCGGTCTACCCAAGCAGCTTCTTCGGTATATGTATCATAGCGAAGGTGAGTCGGTAATGAGCTCCACCATTCGGCGCATTCGGCAGATATTGCTCTGCTCTTGTTAGATGAGGGTAAAAAAGGGATGGGAATTCTAGACGTACTCGACATTCCGCACCACTTCGCTATCCTTTTCGCCTGCAAGACTTTGCTCTAACAATCTCTCTTTGAACACAGCAAGTTGGCATCGCATTCTACCGAAAGTAGTAGGGTGCAGATGACATTCGGTATTCCAACCGTCGCTGTCGAGCTTCGAGAGCTCAGCATTGAGTACTTCAGTATCGTCCGAGGCCATAGCGCGATCGCTAATGTCCAACAACATCTTGCGGTCACTGTATCTCCAGCCCATCATTGGAGGCCTTCCGTAGAACACCGCTAGTGTCTTGTCGCCGTAATATATCGCCGCGTAGAGTCGTCTCCTAAATTCGCGCATGAAGAATGGTTCTGCGTTGCTACCGTCTACGTTGCAAGCCTCGCAGTGGATTCCCGCAGCGTAGAGCGCGGATACACTGTCGCCCATGCGCCTCCAAGTAGCATGATCTGGAGAGTCAGCGATCGTAATTTAGTCTTCTGGATGTAGGGGTGACGTACGGTTGTCCCCGTAGAAGCTACTGACTACCATCAGGTTGATGTAAACGAGACATACCATGACTGCTTCCATCAAAATGTGTACGGTAAGTCTGCGTAGGAATGATACGTACGCTCATTGACAGCGCCATGTGTTTGGCAGATGTTGATACACGTATTGGTTGCATGCATTATGTCCTCGATGAACTCCTCTCTATTCATCTGCTTGCCATCTTCTAATGTGAAGAGGGGGTCGTTAGGCGATGTGAACTGGGCACTAGAGCCGGCAATCGCCATGATCAAGCCCAAAATCTCCCATCTCAGATTTTTGCCTGTGAAGAGAGTGTGGAACTCTGACGGACGCATATCTGAAGGTATTTTCATTGGGCGAGCGGAATTCCTTGTCATCTCGGCGTAGAGCAGGTGTGCGTGATTACCAGCAGCTTGAAGTTGTTCTAAGTCTATGCGCAGTTGTGGCAACGCGGAAAGAATTAGGGGACCAGGGAGGGCTGGATCTAGAATTTCGATGTACTAAGTCAGTTTATGTCTCATACGCAGTTTGTACCTGAGAGATTTTACCCTTGTGCGATTCGAAATACATATGAAGAGACCTTTCATAGAAGGAAAATGGCTGAAGCGTAGAGACTATCGTATCTCCTAGAGAGAACTGGCAATGGCGGTGTGCCATGCCTCTATTTGACACGAAAGGGGCTGTGCTCGGACTTTCGGATGGCTGTTCATGTACTGTGTCTGGTAGCGGCTGCTCTTCTGTAAACACAGCGGCATAGCTAGTAGAACCCAAGAAGAAGTTCCGGGATGGGTCGGGTCCGCTTTGTGTTGTTCTAGTAGCAGAATCTGGAGGAGTAGGCCATGGCCCAATCCCCGCATCATTCCTCAAAGTTGGTGGACTTAGGGTCAACGGCGTCAACCTCCCCTGACTGGATGACGGATTTGTAGCCTGCGCATCCAACCGGCGACGACGCGGCTCTGGCTTCTTGCGAGGGGTGCCAGCAGGCTTCGTCATTGGGTTAGGATGATAAAAGCACTGTTCTGTCATCCCACGAGTCTGGCACTTTGAGCATGTGGGCGTGGCATGGTCGCACTTGATTTTCGATATGCGACATGGTTCGCACGACCTGCGCGTCACGATTAGCCACCCGTGGGTATCTGACTGTCGAATTCACCAACCTGGGCTTCCCGTTCCTTCGCAGCATACTAGATGATTCTCCGAATAGTGTAAGATTAGTGCGAAAGAACTGTTCCGCACCTAAACTTACGTATCTCCTGCATACAGAAGCAGAACCTCGTCGGAGTAATTCTTCAATGTTCCGGTGAAACGGCCCCGCAGCTTGCTAATCCCAAGTAGGTCTAGATCACATCGCTTCACGTCCCATAGTCTCTCTCGCCATTGGATGAGGTTGCTGATAAGCGGGAGCCTACTGGTGATGTACATGATCCTTACTGGAAACAGCTAACGACACGGAATATTCGGAGTGAAAGAATGTCACCAGCCACACAATTTGCAGAACGCTCACCTGGGCAGTCATCAGGTGCATTCATTAGAATCCGCTCTGGAGGTGTTCGCTGATTTCTGCGTGAACAGGCTGATTGAGTACAGGTCAAGATTGAGCGATGAGCGACACTGGATTACTCGTATCGGATATGTGAAGGACTGCTGACACACAGTGCGGAGTTCTCGACGCCGATGATCTAGCGCGAACTTCGGACATCGATTCCGTCGAAGGCTCCGCGTCAGAAGTCGTATCTGACATTCTGTGGCAAGTCTTTTCCGAGCAAATAAACGCCATTCGCTATGTATGCTGGTTCTCTGTGTTAAATTTAAAAAGAGCGCCCCAGGCGCCAACGCTGAACAATGCTAGAGTAAACTTGCTACCAATCCACAAGCGCGTACATCTTCGTATGTTTGGGTATAATGCATAGCCATAATCACTGCCACCATATTGCCTCCCAGCTCGCTACACGTAGTTGAGAAGGGACCATAATCGCCACCATCAATTTCCCTTTCTGAGGCTCCTGAGACTACTCCTGGGCAATCTCTTGGGATCTTCTCCTTCGACTATGACCTTCGTAGTGACGCGTATATTCTGCTCCTCTTCGCTCTCGCCGAGATTGCTCATTGGGTACAGCTCGTCCTGGCTCCCTGTTCTTACATCATCTTCCTCGCCATGAGTGCTCAGTTTGCTACCCTTTGTTACACGACTAGCGTTCCCTAAAGAACGGCCCTTGGATCCAGGGGTAGCAATGCCAAAGTGGTATCCCTCAGTAGAACTCTGCTCTTTTCTCGATACCCTTGCGCGGTAGAAGCCGTACATTCCAGGCATATTGGCGGTGATGATCGCTACCGCGAATTCGATAGACGTGACGATCGTGACGGAGCCGAAGATGTACGACACATCTTTCGTGTTTGCGAGTTGCCACAGGACGATGAAGCGAAGAAGCGAAATCATAATCGTGCAGCCTCCAAGGGTAAAGACGCACATCAGACCGATTCGGCGGCGGACCGTAGTTTGTACGTTCCACAGAGGGTAGATCGGGAGGAGGTAAATCACTACGTCCATGAAGACGTTCTGCATAGTGTCAGTGGTGAGTAGTCTGACAGGTGACGAGCGACTTACAGCAACGGAGGGCAAGTAGTATGATAGACCAGAGGAAATGCAGACAGCGTTCGGATAAAGTTCTGGGGTGAAAAAGGCTTGGATGGGGATACATTGCAGGCCGTAGAAAATCCATGTGCCGCCCGTCTGCAAGCCGACCAGGATCATGGTGGTTATTACCGCGATCCTAAAACCTGGTGTGACCTCGAGTGTGCGGCGATAGAAGAAGAGGAACGACATCTTTATGAAGAACTGTAGAAGAAGATAGTAGAACTCTTCTGCGAAGAGATACTGCCTTATGTGTTAATATGTATGACCAAGCGAACGAAAGCGCGCACTGCACGTAAGACTGCCATAACGTACAGTGCTGATTTTCTTGAGGTTTTCAGGCTTAACACGAGGGTCGGTAACGTGCCTAGAAAAACAGTTGGAAAACTTCCCTCCAGAAAGTGTCAAACTTACAGTCCACCGCCTAAGATGGTCCACATCCAAGCGATATACTGCTGCCCGATGAACAAAATCTGTCTCTGGGTCAGTCACAGCGCGGCTCAGAAACAGGGTAGGTTTAACACTCACAGTTCCAACCAGCATGAACCAGTCGTCTGTACCAAAAGGTTTTCGTATGAAAGCTCGAGTGTAAAGCCGGATAGCAGATGATATCAAGCCCATTATGAAGAATGGAACTGTGGTGATCCAAACAATGGGCTGAATATTATCGTACACCACCAAATTCACATTATCTCCGGCTCTTCGGACAAAATCCATAGTGGGCAGTGAACAGTACGTGAAAACTCCAAACGGTATGCAATTCTTCTCAACAAATACCAAAAGATCGCGAGTGCTTCGTCCGGCCGCAATAAGTCGAAGTGCTGCGAGTGAGTAAAGAGTAACCCCTTACAAAACGGGGAAAGGTATGTGTCGCTATACGCGACGCAGGAACCATTTGATTTTTGCAGCATGTGCCCAATGAAACGGTGCGTGAGTCGGCATGAAGAAGCGCTCCCGATCCTTGTCATGAAGTCGGCCCTATGTCGTTGAAGTTCGCGACTCGTTACTAGGACGAGTATCGGGTGGGGGTTGCCAACGGTCCAAACATGCGGTAGCGACATTCGGTCCTGATGAGGAGACTCCTTTGGGCACGAACGTGCGGCGTGACGCAGAGTGATAAGCGGTGGCATTACCACGGTGTTTTCAAAACTGATGTTATCTCCCTATCGCGACTTACGTTATAGGCAGTCCGCGAGCTACCCTTAAGGCTTAACTGTAATGCCTTGTTGTATCCTGATCAACTAGAAGTAGACTTTATACTTGTCTCCTTATGTATGCGCAAATTGTATGTGGGTAGTGGAACGCGAACACTTCGGAGGTATTGTGCATTGCCCTAGTCAAAATCTGGGGTTGGACTCCACGGAAGTCTGCATGAGGTGAGATATGCTTTCATTCAAGCTCGCGCCGCGCCGTTGCCGCTTGCCGCGCCTAGATTCCGCACGCACTCACCATGCTTCCTGCGAGACATTAGACTGTCCTGGCGAGACCGTACAAGAGTGAGTCAGGAACGGCACTTTATCGGATGTAGAACTGCAGGTTTTCCGACCGAAGTAACGCCTCACAAACAGTTCATGATTGGCGCACTGGTTAAAATGAACCTTGCCGTCTCCACAGTGCAAGGCGCGCAACGTCGAGGCTTTGATATGATCAGCTGCTGAAATTCTCCGTCCCCAAGGGTCGTGGTTTTAAGCGAAATCCTTCTGTCTCTTATTCATTGCATTTTTCTGGAGCTTCTCGGCCTCAACCACGTTTTACCCCAGCAAGCAGCATGTCCGCGAAAGAGCTTAGGATCCGCCCAGCAGGTTGGGAGAGCGCTCCTGCAGAGGAGGACTTCGCTCTCTCCGATATGGACCACACCATGCCGAAGATCTATGTGCAGATAGTGGAGGTGTTCCAGCTCGCGCCACATGTTGAAAAGGCCAAGGTCGTGGATAGCATGGCCAAGGGTCTCGAAGTCACATTGAGCCAGTTCCCAATTCTCGCCGGCGGCTTGAAGATGGACGCGGACAATGGACGGCTGTGGGTGACGAAGAAAAAGGACAGCGAAGTCAGTCTGTTTGTGCAGAACCTGGAGGAAACGTTTCCTTCGTTTGAAGAGCTGGATAGGACCGATTTCCCAGCCGCGACGTTCAAGGGACACAGGTTGTTGCCCAAGGCGGTGACAGAGAAACAACTGTTCTCGCCGCTTGGGGACAATCAGGAAGACGATCTCCTCATTTCTACGTTTCAGATAAATTTCATCAAAGGCGGTCTCGTCCTCGGTGTTGCTATCCATCACAACTGTTCCGACGGCCCGGGATGCGACGGCTTCCTTACCACTTGGGCGCAGAACTCTGCAGCGGTGGCCAATGGAACTTCCTTCCAGGTAGTCCCCAAGGAAACGATGGACCGATCGCGTCTCAGTGCAAAGAAGCCAGATGCTGCGCGGTGGAAGGAACTCGACCACAAGTTCCCCGTACTTAAGGATGGCGGGGGTCCGCCTCCTCCACCGCCAGCCGACTTCAAGATGCCCGAGTTGGCTATTCGAATGTGGCATTTTCCTAAGAGTAAGACGGAGGAACTCAAGTCTCGAGCCATGACAAAGACAGGAGACAGTTGGATCTCGACTTACGATGCAATCATGTCCATCCTCTGGAAGAGTATCACACGGTCCAAGCTTGAGCTTCTCCACCCTGATCTTGGCAAGGAGGTCATCCTAGTCCA